TGGTGCTGGTGGAGGTGCTGGTTTAGGAAACTCTTGTAAATGCTGGGAGGCGAAATGGACTTCTGGTCTAAACCAGCTGTACAACCGTTTGCTTGTTTCTGTGGCATTACTGTGTGTTCATGTCCAGGCCCTGAGGACACCACTAGCCCTGACTGTCCCTGCCTGGCCCCGCCGGGGCTCCCCAACCCTGCCCGCAGCCCAGGACCCCATCGTGGTCTGTGCCTCAGCCTCTCCCTGTCCCCATGGCCTGCCTGGCTGTCCTGGGGCTGTATCTGGCCCCGGTTGCCCTTGCCAGGCCTGAGCCTTGCCCACAGGCCGAGATCCTGGCCTGGCCTTGGCCTGTCCCCATGGAGGTGCCTGACGTCTGGGGCTCCGGCGGGCCCTGCCCCCCTGGGGAGCCCCCATGGCTACCAGTGCCCCAGCCCCCAGGGAGCTGCTGGTCCCCACGGCATGGCCAGCAGTTCAGATGGAAGGAAATGGAAAGGAGTGTGGTGTAGCTGTGTCTTGTTCCTGGTTTCATCTTGGTTTACAGAAAACTGAAGTGCCTTTCCTTAACACTGCAGCACTGATGATCGTGGGCAGCCCCGTGTTGTGCATTACCCCGAGAGCAGCCTGAGCGCTGCTGCAGTGGCCCAAAACCGCCCTGCGTAGTGTGGGCCAATGCTGCTGTGGTGTGGAAGAGGCAGCGGTGCGGTGCCGCGGAGTGGCTCCCTTCTCTGCTATCGATGCTGCGTTTGTGACTGCTTGCTTTTTAGCTCGTCTTCTTAAGGAAAATGAGGTTTATGTGATAACTTATCACTCTGTATAGGCTGATGTCAGTCATCACCAAATCTTATAATTCTTTCAGGTTTCATCAGTGTGGATGGCTAGAGGTTCAGACAGGTGCCGTCAATGAAGGGGAATCTGCCTTATGAATATGTGTTATCGAGTTGTAACTCATAGTGGGCATGATGTGCCTTATGGGAGGGTGGTAGGAGTGTGTCGTAAGTAAGCTCTTCTGCATCCTTGCTGCCTGCCGTGGGGCCTGTTTACATGTACCTTGTGCCTAGACTGGGGTTCTGCAGAGGCGGTGGCTGAAACCTGGGGGTAGGTGAGGATGGAACAGGGCAGGGTGGATGAAGTGGACCTTCTGAGGTGTGCGATGTTTGCCATTTTCTCATGTGAATTTTGGACTTAATAAACGATGGGAAAAGTGCAGGCAGTGCAAGACAGAAATACTTACATGCTTGTGGTGGAAAAACTTTGCTCAGAGGCTACACTGTATTAGACCTAATGCAACTGAAAAACATGTCATGAAATGCTTTCGATTGGTGCTTGGGTGCTCTGTTAAGAAAATAGTTGACTAGGCACAGTAAGTTTTTATATTTCAATTTTTTTTGTTGTTGTTTTCACAATCCTTTGATGCATTATTAGTGGTAGCCTTTGTTGATCTGAATTTGCAAAGCCCGTGTTACTTAATTTACTTTGGGCATTTATTTATTAAGGCTTAGCAAGGATAACAAGTGTTCTGTGCAGTGGAAAAAGAGAATAAATCTGTAGAAGACAGAAAAGCCATTGTTCTGAAATGTAAATGCTGACAAGCATCTATAAGAAAAATCTTGCAAAAAGTTTGAAAATAAGCCTCATCTTGCATTAATAGTTTGAAATGTGAAAGAAGAACATAGCATTCCTCTGGTTACTGAAAGCTGAATTTAGAAGAGTATGTTGATGGTGTTAAATGCTTACTGGAAAAATGGATTGGAAGAACCAGGTTTCGAAGTTTAGAAGTAGTGCTTTCCAGCCTGATGGTGATCCGGTTAAGAAAAGCATGGTTTGGTGATTCTGACAGAATCACGATCTGTAAACAAGGCGTTTAGGTTGGCTGTGAGTCTTAACACTTATTATGGATGAGGACTTTGGAAATAATCATGCTGCTGTAACACCCGTATCTTTAGCATCTGGATTACAGGAATACAGCGTACCAGTGCAAATAGTTTAATTCTTTTTAAATGCACTTAATAAAGCATTGAATGAGCTTAGATTTCAGGCTGAGGTTAAATAATTGTTTCACCTATATAGGAAATTCTGATTCACTTCAATAATAGACCTGGTGGACGTTTGGAACAGAAGGGATGGGCTAGTGCACGGGCAGGGCTATGCTAAGCTTAGGGAATACTCATTAGAAAGATTCACAATAGCAATTCTAAAGAAAATAGATGTAATGTGAGAGAGAGCACAGCAGAATGCCAGGGCAATACGAGTTTCAATTTATGCCATTCTTTATGTCAAATTCTGATTTTTTTTTTTATTTTTTTTTTTTTTTTTTTTTTTTAGTGTCAAAGTGAAAACTAATTAGCAGATCATTTCTGAGGAGGGATAAGGTGCTGGTCCTTGGTGACCTAGAAATCTTGATCCCTGTGGATCCAGTGGCACTTCTGGAATTGTCGGTCTTTGCACTTCAGGTGCAGTCTGAGTCATGAGCAAAAGCTCAGGATAGGTGGGATCTGGTTTCTGCTCTGCAGCGTCTCTGTCACCTGGCTCTCCAGTCAGGCTTGTGGGCCTGTTTTTTCATGTGCTGATTAAAGTTCTAAAGTGTACACCAACATTAACATTAAATCCTGGGTGAATAATGGTAGATATACTTTAAATTCTTCTAAAATATTACAATTTTTTTTTTTTTTAAATGCCTATGAAAATTGTGTTTTCCTAATCTAAGACATGGCTTTTAAATCCCGTTATCTTGTGGACCTGCAACAGTTTTGATTTGCTTGGAAGATACCAAAAATAAAATGCACTTGTGATAATCTTGTTTACTTCTCTGGAAATAATACTGCCACATCACAGTTTTATTCTTGGAGAAAACGGATTAATTTTTTCAGGAGAAAAATGCAGCATTTTAGCACTACTCTAACTAATTACAGGAGAACATTCTCATGGAACTTGTTTGCCTGTGTTTTAGATGCTTTTTATATTAGGAGGTGACGATGATGATAAAAATGCCAACATTCTCCTTTAATCTCACCTGGAGTTTTTGCAAGTCCTTTTTTTGTTGCCTAAAAACATAGCGTGATCATACTGTGTCACAAAATCAAATACTCATTTTCGATTAAAAATGCCATATGCTCATACATTTTGATTTCTTTCCAGGAGTTTCATGTGAGCTCTACTGCTATAATATCTTGGATTTTCAGTTTAGAGTCGACAGTCTCTCCTTGCCATAATGTACAGCCTTTTACATCATAAAACCTTATGTTTTCTATCCATAGCTTCTGCAGAAAAAGACACAATCAAGAACACCTACTCTAAAGTAATGGATGCATATGGGCTCTTGGGTGTATTAAGATTAAATCTTGGTGAGTAAAATACCTAAAACCTTAATTTTTTATTTGGGAGGGAAAATTGTGCCGCTTCTCTCAAACTGCATGGCATGGGATTTTTGCAACAGGAACTGGACTCTTTGTAGAGTAACTTGCAAATTTGGAGCACTCCCAGAAATGAGGGAGTGGACAAAAATAACTTCCGTTTTTACAGTCCCTGGCAGCATAGTTTCTACTGTTTGCATTTCCTTTTCTGTAGAACTTGAGAGTGAGTTCTTGCTGTTAGTTCTTTTTGTGCTTTTTAAAGGCAAACTGGGGTCAGACTGTGTGCTTTTAAGCTTATAAATACATCAACATAACATCACACTCTGCTAAGGTTCATTCTGTTACCTGTGCCTTTTCTTGTTTTACAGGGGACACATTGTTACATTATCTGGTTCTAGTAACAGGATGCATGTCTGTGGGAAAGATTCAAGACTCCGAAGTTTTTCGAGTTACTTCCACTGAATTTGTATCATTACGAAGTGATTCAACAGATGAGGACCGTATTTCAGAAGTGCGCAAAGTTTTGAACTCGGGAAACTTTTATTTTGCGTGGTCTGCAACTGGTGTCAGTTTAGATCTTAGTCTCAATGCTCACCGCAGCATGCAGGAGCACACCACTGACAATAGGTTTTTCTGGTGAGTTTATAGTATGTTTTATCAGACATTATATAGAATAATGCATGCCTGTACAAACTAATCTGTGGCAAGTTTTTTCCTTGTCTTTACTGGCTCTTAAACATACACCTTTGTCCCACAAATGTTGATAAGATAGAATAGCATTATTTTAACACTAAGGTCATAAGTATGTAATTAATGATACAACGTTTCCATGGCCACTTGGGGTTTCTTAATTGGAAGACACAGATTTTCACTGCTTATGATATTATACTTTGATCTGAACAGTTGTTGTGATGTTTCAGCTTTGGTTCATCCTGGATTCTAAAATGGTGTGCTGTTTAAATATAGCTTCCAAGTGGGTTTCCAACATGTGAAAGGGCTTTAAAAATTTTATTAGACAGATGATTGTCACGTTGCTGATGTTATTGAAATGGAGCAGGTATGTTATGCTACAGTGCACATTGCTTGGCTGCTAAACTCGCTATCTTTTCACAGAATATTTTTGAATAAAGTATAGGTTTTCACACAGAGAATTCTTGGTAAAAGGAATAACTGCTGTTGCTGCCAATAAGCAGCTTAAATAATGCCAGTGATGCATACTGTCATGTAAGAAATTCTGCCCCCATATTTTCAGCCTTTGTTAAAATGATATATGTGTCCATGAACCTTGGAAGGGTCCTGCAGACTTGGCAGTACGCTGTTAAAACAGATGAAAAGCTACATCTTCACACCTCTTCTGTCCAATATATGAGACACCAAACCAGCTCTGGCACATGTGCCAGTGCTACTCTACTCTTTGCCACTATTTTAGTCAGATAGAGAAGTATGATCGAATTGCTGTATAAGACAAAATATGTGTATTAAGACAGAAAATAAGCTCTAGTTTTCAGAAACACATCTACCTTGGTGTAGGTTTACAGGAGTTACAGGAACCTAGCTGTTTGTCTCTCTCTGCATCTGGAAAAAGACAGGACTCTGTTGATAAGTCAGTATTTCGAGGCTTGCAAAATGGTGATGCCTGTTGACCCTGTCCTAATCAGCTTGGCTGATTTTGACCCCTGTTGTAAAACTTCTTCAGTTGCCTGGCTTTTTTTGCAGTAAGAACCAGTCCTCGCAGGAGGTAGATGGAATGTCCCAGATTCCAAGATCTGGAAAAGTAAACACTAGAAGTCAGTAACACAAAGTATTCTGCTTAAGCACTTCAGTAAGCTTTCTTGGCCTTTTTTTGTTCAGAAGTTCCAGTATCAGATTGCCCAGGGAGAGAATATTGTTTGCTTTCTCAGTCTCCTATTGTAATGCATCGTATACTTTCCTGTGAAGTGAATGCATACTTGATTCACAGGGTTTGAATCTTCATTAATGATTGAACTAAAGTGTTTGATAAGTTGCAGATTTTTATTTGTGAAACTGGAAGTTTAGAATGAAAAGGCTAAAATTAAAGTGAATAGCTTCAACCTGTATACCAAATATGTCATTTGCAATTACGGTAGAATTTTCTGGGTGGTGAAAAACCAGCTGTCTTAGTAGAGTTTACTTTTCTTTGCTATGCAGAAAACTTTACTTCCTTTTTATACAAGTGAATGTTTCCAAAGAAGATCAAAAGCCAAGCCCCACTAGAGTGAGGTGAAACAAAAAAACTCACAAACTCCAAACTTTACTCTTACTTATTTACTACAGTGTTGGTCGGTACTACTTAACATAGGTATATCCAAACTGTGGATCTTTCTTTCATTTGAGCAGAAATTGGTATGAGAGAACAGCATATGCAGTATATAATGTACCAGCACTTAACCCTGAAATTGATATCTACAGAAATTTGAAAATCAGTTGTCTATGAATGTATTTCTGGAAGCTTGTCTAGGCAAGTGATGCCTTACAGTGATATATAATAGAAATAGTCAATGTATGTTGACAATAATTTTTTTCTAGCTTTATTTTGTGGTGGTGTAAAATTGAATGGTGCTTTACCCATCACAAAAAGTAACCCCATAACTGGAATTCTGGCTTACTCTTCCCAGAGTCTGTAATCTTTGGCTTCTGAAAGCAAGGCTGAGTGGAGAAATATAAACAAGCTTGGAGTGCTGTTTTTTGCTGGGTGAAGAGCAGAAGCTATAAGCGTTATTTTTTTAAGGTCATTAAAATTCATGGTTTCACCCCATGTTCTTATTGTGCAAATGTTTAAGCTGTTCTCTGGTAAACTTTGCTATTAAAAGTATGTTTAAATAAGAGTTATATCATAAAACTATAGCATGCGTATTTTCCTTTTCTTGTTTGTATGGTGGGCGTAAAATACAAGAAGTCAGTAGCTGGCTTAACAGTTTTATTTCCTTCCAGTTATTTTTTCTTTCTTTTCCTGATAGGAACCAGTCACTGCATTTACATCTGAAGCACTATGGTGTGAACTGTGATGACTGGTTGTTACGTCTCATGTGTGGAGGAGTGGAGATAAGGACAATTTATGCAGCTCACAAGCAGGCAAAGGCTTGTCTCATTTCACGACTAAGCTGTGAACGGGCTGGCACCAGATTTAATGTGCGGGGAACAAATGATGATGGTCACGTTGCTAATTTTGTTGAAACAGAGCAGGTATGTTACACTACAGTGCACATTGCTTGGCTGATGAACTCGAGATAAGTGTGTGTGTGGATAGTTTTTTGCCCTAAATCGACAGATCACAAATCAAGTCTGTAACCAACAGATATTGGAATAGTTCCTTTGCAGCTAAATAAGGACTCTAAGTAGGTTACATAATTTGATGATCTTGGTTTTTAGTGTAGCTTAGGGTAAGAGCATGCATGGGTCTGAGTTTCAGTAGCTTAAGAAGCTGTTACCTGTCAGCTGAACTGCTGTAGGTGGCTGTACTTCCTTTTAGCCTCCTGAGCTGTAGGTGAGTGTGTACTTCTTTTGGCCTGAGCCAAAAGGTAAAGGAGAAGGCATTAGAAAACAAACAAAAGAGATTTTTTGGCAAATATGTGGTACCTTGTGGTTCAGGAAAGATAAAAGCATTCCTATGGTTACTTAACACAGCTCCCCTGAAAGGTAGTTTTAAAGCCACTGTAATTCCACTGCATTTGATTGCATATCTTTGCCCTTACACAGAAATGGAAGAAGCTGTTAAATCATTGTGTGCTAGCCTTTCTTTGCTCACCTCTTACAATAACCTAGTTACCAAGATGTTGTTCCTGCAGCTGTATTCGTGTGAGTAGATATCTTTCGCTCACTGACTTGTTGCAAAGCCTAGGTGACTTCAGCAGG